TGTAAAGGGCACGGTTTTGTTCCTTCTACGTTTTAAAAACAATCTTTTAAAGATCTCCAAAAGAGCGGTTTTATTTTTCTGGGCATTTTTTTTCAACCAAGGTTGACTGAAAAAAATGAACACAGACTAAAGATGAGTCACAAAAGAATATGAAGATCCTATTCCTGTTGGGTGATCCTGATTTCAGATTTGAACTGTGCAACTGCGCAAAAAAAAAGGTTGAATAATGTAGGGGTCTCCAACCTTGGCCACTGTAAGACTGGAGGACTTCAACTCCCAGAATTCTCCAGCCAGCAAAGCTTCCCTAGCTAGCAAAAATTCTGGGAGTTGAAGTCCTCCAGGCTTAAAGTGGCCAAGGTTGGAGACTCCTGGGATAATGGGCAATTGTCTCTCCCCAGAGTGTATTTTGGAGGTGAGACTGACATTCCTGGTGTAATCCAATCTGATCTTCAGTTTATCTTTTCATGCCTCTATTCATAACCTGAAATGGGACATTGCTGATTCTAAACTGCCTACATTTTAGTAACCTGACCTTGTTCTCAAGATCCCTATCGGGCTAACTGGTGATTGGACTTGATCCTAGCTAATTGGGAATCATTTTGCACATCACGTCTAGCTACAAGAAACATTACACAGCCAATCCAATGTTGTCAAGTGAAAAAGACTATAAAGGCTTACTAAAAGCAAAGAAATATTTATCTTTGTGTTAGGAAGCGCCCCATATATTGTAAAATTTCTCCATCTTTGCAGCTTCCTGAAATGGGAGACTAAAACAAGGAGGAAAAACTTGCAAGGTGCCATTTTCCCTCCCACCAGGGTTATTCTCCTATTCTAGCTCAGTGCAGTGACCTGTCAGTGGCCATCAGAGCTGGCGGCAGACTCAGACAGTGAGGAGGTTGGGGAGGAACATGGGCCGGTCCTGGAGTCCAGGAAAGGCTCTGACAAGGGCTCTGCATCGGAGGCAGAGATGGGGCCAGGGCCGCCTGACAGTTGTCAGCTGCCTTCAGAGGTCAGAGGGGCAGAAGAACAGCTGGAGCCTGTTCCGGATGTGTGCATGCACAGAGCTGCTGGGAGAAGGATACGGTTAAGGAACAAGGGCTGACTTGGGAATAAAGGCTCAGGTGGATGGTGAATGGTCCCTCCCATAGGGAAGGTAAGGCCCAAATCCTGATAAGCTGCCAACTGATCAAACAGTTCCAAACATTCCCATCAATTTCTCCACTGTAAAATACCAACTGTAATTCAGTAAAGTCAAATGTTAAGCACCAATAAATATTGAAACAGCTAATTTTGATTAATGGGTTGGGCTACATCAATTTTTAATTTACTAAAAATGTATCTGAGATTGCTTGGCTTTTGGTGGGGGGAAGCCCTCCTGGAGATGTTGCAAATTTGTCAGCTTCGGCAAAGCTGGCAAAATTCTGGAGCACTTTAAATTATTACCTTACAGGTTTTGTCTTTGATTACTTTTGATAACTTTTGGAAAAGGAAAAGCTACATTAATCATTATTAAAGTTAAGTCTATGCCTTACCAAAGAGAGGATTGCATTCCGATTGGAGAAATTGCCATTTCTAAGACACAACTTACTACAACACTTAGGTAGGGGCCCAAAAATGAATTAGAATAGCAGTAGCACTTAGATTTATATACCGCTTCATAGTGCTTTACAGCCCTCTCTAAATGGTTTAGTCAGCTTACGGCTCTCAACGATCTGGGTCCTCATTTTACCGACCTGGGATGGATGAAAAGCTGAGTCAACCTTGAGCCTGGTGAGATTCGAACTGCCGAAGCGGGTGGCAATCGGAAATCAGCAGAATTAGCCTGCAGTACTGCATTTTAACCACTGCGCCACCATGGCTCAGTGGGGAAACTGTATTTTTATTTATAAGAAACTTATGCAAGATTATTTAAGGCAGCAGCCTCCAACCTTTTGGGAACCTGGGACTGGTTTTGGGCAGAGAGGTTTTTTTAGCAGGCCGGAAAGGATGCGGTTTCGCACGCTGCCTGCATCCCATGGATGGGGCCTTGTTTGCTTGCGTGGCCCATTTTCTGGCATGCTGCGGCCCAGTGCTGGTCCACAGACTGGAGGTTGGGGACTCCTGAATTAAAGGATATTAAGCCTATTCTAAGCAATCACCTGGTGGTGGTATGCTACTGGTTTGGACCGGTTCAGTTGAACTGGTAGTAAAAAAAAACAAAGTCTGAGAGGATCAGCTAAAAGGAGAAAGAAGAGAAAAGCATAGGATCGGCCCTCCCACCCACCCTGTCACTTTTCTTTATCCTCTCAGCTGATTGGCACTGCAGGCCTCAGCTGGTGTGGAGAAAGCTTCGCATACACATTAGGTGCGCGCACAATCACCAAACCGGTAGTGGAACATGTAGGAACCCACTGCTGGAATCACCTAGATCTCTATGGATTAGAATAGCAAAAATAGGCATATGAATGAAACAAGTAGATTTTTTTAATTCAGCGGTCACCAACCTTTTTGACTTGGTAGCCCTATGAGGGGAGGAGAGGCAATGGTTCTGTGCGAGTGGCAAGTACACTCACAAGCATGCACAGCTCCATTTGCAGAAGTGGCGGGCACGAGCGCCCACCGCTTGTTCAAATGGAGCTTTGAGCGCAAGTGCCTGCTGCTCACACAAGGGGAGCTACGCGGTGTACTCTCTCCTATCACTTAAGCGGCCTGGTTATGAATGGGCCGAAGCCCAGGGGATTGGGAACCCGTTTTAGTTAGATACCCTCCAGTATTCAACTCTTTATTAGGGGAGAAGCCATAATATTTATTCATTTATTTAAGTGATTTATATGGCTACCAATCTCACAACGATGACTTGGGCAATGTACAAAGTTCAGTGGTTAAGGGACCAGGCTAGAAAGTGGGAGATGCTGAGTTCAAGTCCTGCCTTCAGCTTGAAAGCCAATTGGGTGACTCTGAGCCAATCACGGGAGACGGTGGCGTTCTAGTCCTGGCCTTAGCCATGAACGACAGCTAGGTGGGCCAGTCCCTCTCTCTCAGCCCAACCCACCTCACAGGGTTGCTGTTGTGGGGAAAATTGGAGGAAGACGGAGCATTGTATAGGTTCGCTCCCTCGAGTTGTTTATCAAGAAATAATAAAAGCAGGATATAAATGGGGAAAAAAATTAACAACAAAAGAGAAATTAAGAGTTGGCAAAACCACAATAGCAGCATTGGGCAAGCTGTGCCTTTTGTGTTGGCTGTGAATTGCATCGGTGGGAGGGGAAGAATTTGTGTTGTTTGCAGGGCCTTTTTAGTTTTGATTATCAAAGCAGAACCATCGGCAGAGATTATTGATGTTTCTTTCCCCAGTTTTCAATACCACATCTTCTTCTTCCAGTCCAGCTTCCCTTTAATAAATAGTCAGCACACGAGACTGAATAAATAAGCGGAGAGAGAATCAGTCCATTCATTTCAACACGTTCTGTCACATTAAGTGGAGATATCCGGGTTTGGGGTGAAAAAAACGCAACTACAGGTAGTTCCTTGATTAACAACCATCCGTGGAGTGACCATTCAAAGGGACATTAGCACTGAAAAAGGGACTTGTGACCGGTTTCACACTTACAAACATTGCAGCATCCCTATGGCCAGCTGGCTTTGGGCGAGCAAAGACAACGGGAGGGGAAAAGTCAGATTTGCTCTACAATTGTATGATATGCTTAGTAGCTGCAGTGATTTGCTTAACAACGCTGACAAAAAGGTTGTAAAATGAGGTACTGCCTTGCTTAGCAACAGAAATTTGGGGCTCTGTTATGGTTGTAAGTCAAGGACTACGTGTCTCAGGCACGTGGCCTTGGGTTGAAATTTCTGCTTTTTATGAAGACAATGCAATGCGTTTAACAAGTCCTGGAATGTATGATGAAGCAGTCCAAATTTATAGAGCGCAGGTTACTTTCAGACATCAAAGACTTGCCTCAGGATAATAAAGAACTGACAGGATATGTTGGTTCTTCTTGATCATCCAGCATGAACATTTTGATATTAAAACCACCAGCTTAAGATCGGTTTCCAGTTTCATTTTGCAAGCTCAGATAGGATTGGCTTTAAATGACCCAGAGTGACCTTATTCTTCTGAAAACTAATACATTTCACCTCCACGGATCTATGGGGAGGATGCTGAAGTGTCATGAGAAAAATCTGGCTAAAAACGGATCCCTTGGTTAATTCTTTTTTTTAAAATCCCAGTTTATGCTACAAAATTTGTAGAATACACTATTGAAAGTAAGTTGCTGCTTTCAGAGGAGGAGGAGGAGGAGGAGTAAAAGGAAAACTTGGCCCCTTCTATACTTTCAATATTTTTTCAAAACACTATTCAATACACTATTGAAAGTAAGTTGCAGTTTTCAGGAGGAGGAGGAGGAGGAGGAGGAGGAGGAGGAGGAGGA